GGGGGGTTACCGCTTGTGGTGCTGAAACTTTACCCCGAGCTACACTCAGGAATACCGGCAGGGGGGGTTAATAAGAAATGGTTGTGAAATCTTGAACTTGAAAATCGGCCAGAAGCCCAAAAGGACCTCCAATCGGTGGATTATTAGTATCTCGTACTCCGGTCTCCTCCAGGCAGCGGCCCTCGCTGAGCAGAGCCAGTGATTGGTGAATATTTTTTTCACACCCGAGTGACAAAGTACAAACCCCTTCCAGGGCGCGGCGGTACAAGGATCAGTACCAGGGGCGGACTGACCATTTGGAAACTCGGGCACTGCCTGAGGGCCCGGGGTCAGTAGGGAGCCCCATGAGATGCCCCTGGTACCTTTTTCATAGGCTTTTTTGAGTTTGGGCAAGGACACAGGGGCCCCATGATCCCCTATTGCCCGGGGGCCCCATGAGTTGTCAGTCCGCCCCTGATCAGTACCGTGACACGCGCGTTGCCTTGATGTGTTGGGGTGCCGTGCAAAATGAACGGTACCCCAATGCAGTAACGCATATCATCTGCGCTGCCCACACGTTACCAAAGGGGCCCCAAATGAAACCAGTGCTGGATTCGTCTCGTATCATCATCATCGCATGTTCCCCGTATCAGGCAGAACTCGTGTTAGGCGGATCCAGCAGATGCTCTCCAGGAGCGATTCCTGCCAGCAGCTGACATAACGACAAGTTACATGAGGCCTGCGGTGATTTGGGAGCCAATTGAATGCTCCCGGCCCCTTTATATTCTCAGTTCCTATTCCAGCAAAACAAAGAAGAAAACATCTTTATGATCCGCCCACGGAACCAAACGGGAACTGCGGCCAAGCTGCTGCAACCCTCCGAGATTGGGACTGGACAGTGAAACCGCATGATTGGCTGGAGAACAAGAGAGGCGCAGCTGGCGACTCCCCATCAGTAATCTGCGTCTCCTGAGCAGAGTGACCACATCTGTAGGATTTACTGTCTGTGTACAGAAAGGGCCTCTGTAAGGAGGAAGACCCGGCCATCAATGATGAGGAGGAGGACAGAAAGGCAAATCAATGCAACCTGCAACTTGTACCCCGCCCAGGGGCGGACTGACAACTCATGGGGCCCGGGCAATAGGGGATCATGGGGCCCCTGTGTCCTCGCCCAAACTCAAAAAAGCCTATGAAAAAAGGTACCAGGGGCATCTCATGGGGCCCCCTACTGACCCCCCGGCCCTCGGGCAGTGTCCGAGTTTCCAAATGATCAGTCCCACCCCTGCATGCAACCGATATTAACCCTTTCACTCCCAAAGTCAATTTTCCTTTCTTTTTTTCCTCTTTTGTTACACATTTAACCACTTCCAGTCTGGACACTTCCCCCCCCCCCCCTTCTGTGCCCAGACGCTTTCCCCCCCCCTTCCTGTCCAGATGCTTTCCCCCCCCCCTTCCAGTCCAGACGCTTCCCCCCCCCTTCCAGTCCGGACACTTTCACCCCCTTCCAGTCCAGGCCAATTTTCAGCTTTCAGCGCTATCACACGTTGAATGACAATTGCGCGGTCATGCAACACTGTACACATATGAATTTTTTAGCATTTTTTTTGAGACAGATAAAGCTTTATTTTGGTGGTTTTATTCACCGCTGGATTTTTAGTTTTTTTTTTGCTATATAAATGAAAATGTCCAAACATTTTGAAAAAAATGTGTTTCTCTTATAAAATTTTGCAAATAAATAATCTTTGTTCATAAATCTTGGCCAAAATTTTATTCTATCTTTTTAGTTAAAAAAAAAAATAAATAACCCAAATTTTAGAGTTTTATAACCAAAAATTAAAATTTTTTAAAATTTTTTGTTTTAATTTTAGATTTTTTTTTTTTTTTTACATACCGTCACCCTAGTAGTACAGATCACCATGGTGACACTGTACTATTTGGGGGGGTGATGAAGATTTTTTTTTTTTTACACTGATTGGCTTTTACACCCATAAAGGCTGTAAAAGCAATCATTTCTCCTTCTCTCTGGCTGAATTCTTGCAGCCATTGAGAAATAGTGTGAGAGCTGTGATTGGTCACAGCTTGTCACATGGTACAAGGCTGTTGTGAATGGCCCTGTACCATGTGATCTCTGTGATCATTCACAAATTTCACACGTAGTAAGCAATGATGTTAGGAAGTGACATCTTGCTTACTACTTTGCATGTGATCACTGATTGGCCAATCAGTGATCACATGATCGGGACCTCACACAGAGGTCCCGTACAATGATCGGTGTTCCACTCTGTCCGGATGACACAGCGGGCACCGGATCGCGGTGCTGCATGCTCCAAGGGAGTGCGCACAAGCAGGGGGGGGAGGCCGTTTATAAATGGCCACCTGACCCTGCACTGACACCGTCCGGGGGCCGTTTACTGTCCGGGGGCTGCACACAGGATTTTTTGACCTTCATCCAAATAATGCATTGAGACTTTATAACCACCAATATTTGTGTTCCGGTTCATCAAGAACAAAATTTCGGTAAAATAAAAACACATTAATACCCGTTCTTTGGTCAAAATATAACAGAGGAAGGTTGTGCCCCCCAGCAGACTCCCAGACATCGGATCCTACGGTGAGCACCAGATTCCGATCATCAGCTTCGCGGTCCAGAAATCTCTAAATGTGAATCTACTGAACCTCGCCATCGTTCTCTCCGAGCAAAAACCTAATGCCCCGCCCACACCATGACATCATCGGATGAACGATCGGGTTTAAGCCGGTTTGTTTTGTTTTTTGGCATGTTAGTCTCCATAAATATCGGAAATGAAGACGTTACTAAAGTTTTCAAAAATTCTCGTAAGAAAGAAAACAACTTCCGCGATGATCTTATGCGGGGGGCTCCAAACTTTATAAACGAAGGGCCAGTTTACTGTCCTTCAGACTTTAGGGGGGCCGGACTGTGGGCAGTGAGGGAAAATGTCCTAGAGTCAGTGGGAGTAAAAATACCCCATCATTGTATTAACGGGAGATATAGTGCCCCATTGTTGGTGTCAGTGGGAGGAATAGTGCGCCATCGTTGGTGTCAGTGGGAGGAATAGTGCCCCATCGTTGGTGTCAGTGGGAGGAATAGTGCCCCATCGTTGGTGTCAGTGGGAGGAATAGTGCCCCATCGTTGGTGTCAGTGGGAGGAATAGTGCCCCTTCGTTGGTGTCAGTGGGAGGAATAGTGCCCCTTCGTTGGTGTCAGTGGGAGGAATAGTGCCCCATCATTGGTGTCAGTGGGAGGAATAGTGCCCCATCGTTGGTGTCAGTGTGGAGTGGGAGGAATAGTGTCCCATCATTGGTGGGTCAGTGGGAGGAATAGTGTCCCCATCGTTGGTGTCAGTGGGAGGAATAGTGCCCCATCATTGGTGTCAGTGGGAGGAATAGTGCCCCATCGTTGGTGTCAGTGGGAGGAATAGTGCCCCATCATTGGTGTCAGTGGGAGGAATAGTGTCCCCATCGTTGGTGTCAGTGGGAGGAATAGTGCCCCATCATTGGTGTCAGTGAGAGGAATAGTGCCCCATCATTGGTGTCAGTGGGAGGAATAGTGCCCCATCATTGGTGTCAGTGGGAGGAATAGTGCCCCATCATTGGTGTCAGTGGGAGGAATAGTGCCCCATAGTTGGTGTCAGGGGAGGAATATGCCCCCATCATTGGTGTCAGTGGAGGAATAGTGCCCCATAGTTGGTGTCAGTAGCGGGAACTATGCCCCATTGTTACTGATGGTGGGGGAATAATTCCCCAAGGGCCAGATAACATCATGCAAAGGGCCACATAGAGCCTCCGGGGCCGCAGTTTGGAGACCGCTGGTCTAATGTACTGTATTGTAATGTAATGTATTCTTTTGTTCCTGGGCATACGCCATCTTGGTCAGTCGATTTTTTTATGGACGAATACTGTGGTGATGAAACGAAAATCATTAGTTCTGTTACCAATATCAGAATAATTTTCCTGCTGGAGCCTTCAGATATTGTCATGAATACGGCTGCCAGACTCATCCACCTTACTAACCGTTCTGTATCTGCCAATCCCTCCACTGTCCTCCACTCAGTGTCCTCCACCCCTCTCTGCCAATCCCTCCACTGGCCTCCATTCAGTGTCCCCCCACCCCTCTCTGACAATCCCTCCACTGGCCTCCATTCAGTGTCCTCCACCCCTCTCTGCCAATCCCTCCACTGGCCTCCATTCAGTGTCCTCCACCCCTCTCTGCCAATCCCTCCACTGGCTTCCCATTGCCTAACGGATAAAATTCAAAACATTAACAATAAAATATAAAGCCATTTATAACTCCGCCCCCAATTACATCTCTGATCTTGTCTCCAAATATCACCCAAACCATACTCTCCGCTCCTCGCACAACCTCCTGCTCTCTAGCTCCCTTGTCTCCTCCTCCCATGCTTGTCTCCAGGACTTCTCCAGAGCTGCCCCCATCCTCTGTAACTCTCTACCCCAATTTATCAGACTATCACCTACTCTGCTCACTTTTAGGCGATCTCTGAAAACCGATCTCTTCAGGGAAGCCTATCCTGCCCTCAGCTAATACTGGAATCTTCTACTCCTCCTACCACTCCATCCCCCACAGTTATTACCTTTTGTACCACCAGCCCCTCCCTCCTAGACTAAGCTCCCAGGATCAGGGCCCTCCTGTCCCTCTTGTATTGAACTGTATTGTTGCTGTATTGTCCCCCGTTATATTGTAAAGCGCTGAGCAAACTGTTGGCGCCATAAATCCTGTATAATAATAATGATAATATGGTCACATGATCGCTTGTAATCGGCTCTCGCAGTGATCCAATGGTCAGATTATCGGGCGATCGCTCCCAAGGTGGTATTTTACGTCCAATTTTCTCATCGTGGGTACGCGATTTTTTTGCCCGATTTTCATTCAACCACAGAAACCAGCCGGCCTGGACGTATTGGTTGTGCTTCAAGGTCTGCGAGGGTCTCCACTCATGAAGATACAACCATAGAGAGGAATGTCAGGAATTCGGAATGTCTCACCTGAGTGACTCTGGAAGCCGATCCTCGGACAGACCTTCCACTAGAACGCGGAATATGTGAAATAACTCGACTTTACAGATCCGAGACCTGCGAAAACAAAGAGACAACAGAATGAATGGCAAACGATCCTCAGTGACACCAGAGCAGGCCATTAATACATAGAAACCATACCGGCTTTGTCAGGGGCGGACTGACAACTCATGGGGCCCCCGGGCAATAGGGGATCATGGGGCCCCTGTGTCCTTGCCCAAACTCAAAAAGCCTATGAAAAAGGTACCAGGGGCATCTCATGGGGCCCCCTACTGACCCCGGGCCCTCGGGCAGTGCCCAAGTTTCCAAATGGTCAGTCCGCCCCTGGGCTTTGTACAGATTCATTTAGAATGGTCAGAAAAGATTTTCTCATCTGATTGACCTTGTAACCTTCTACAGAGGTACTTCCACCCGGCAGCACTCGGGTTGTCGGATCGAATCCTAACCACGGCACCACCTGCCTAGAGTTTACATGTTCCCCCTGTGCCTGTGCGTGGGTTTCCTCTAAAAAACATGCTTGTAGGTTAACCCCCCCCACCCTCCAGAGGATTCCCCCCCCCCCCCTTCCTGTCCAGCTATTTTTTTGCATTACGGCGCTGCGTTACTTTAACTGACAATTGCGCGGTCATGCAACGCTGCTCCCAAATGAAATTTACGTCCTTTTTTTTCCCCACGAATAGAGCTTTCTTTTTGTGGTATTTGATCGCCTGTGCGTTTTTCCTTTTTTTGCACTATAAAAAAAAAAAAAAAAAGCGACAATTTTGAGAAAAAAACAATTTTTGATTTTTTTTGCTATAAAACATGTCTAGTAAAAAAAAATTTAAAAAAAATGAAATTTTGTTTATTTTTTGCGCTATACAGGTGAAACTCGAAAAAAATGAGAATCTGGTGCAAAAGTTCATTTATTTCAGTGCTGCAACTTAAAAGGTGAAACTAATATATGAGACTCATTCCATGCAAAGCAAGATAGTTCCAGCCGTGATTTGTCATCATTGTGATGATTATGGCTTACAGCTCATGAAATCCCCAAAATCCACAATCTCAGAAAAAGAGAATATTGGGAAAAGGTGGAATAATCTCGGCTCAAAGTCTCCCACTCTAATCAGCTCATTCAGCCATAACACCTGCAAAGGGTTCCCGAGCCTTTGCAAGTATACTAACAATGCAACATATTGTTACTTTTGTATCAATCTGTTTATTCATCTGCAAATCAAAAGGGAAGAAATTATATCAATTATCTTTGTCTGAATAAAAGTGTAAGGATGTAAAGTTGGTTCTTTGTTTTACTAGTTGCAGACTTTGGGCGTGCCACACATGTCCAAAAAAGAGCCATCGTCATTGTACACAGGGCATGTGTAGCATATCCAGTCTGTCTAACCTGCTTATGGTGCAATGGGACACCCCATCTCAGCATACAGTAATTGTTGGTTGGGATTAATTAAAGCCGGCATTACTGCATACTCAGAGAACGTTTTCAGCAGCTGTAGCAAATATACAAACAATGCAACATATTGTTACTTTTGTATCATTCTGTTCATTCATCTGCAAATCAAAAAGGGAAGAACTTAGATCTGCAAATGATATCAATTATCCTTGTCTGAAAAAAAGTGTAAGGCTGTAAAGTCGTTCTTTGATTAACTAGTTGAGGACTTTGGGCGTGCTACACACGCCCCCCCCCCCCCAAAAAAAAAGAGCCAGCTTCGTTGTACACAGGGCATGTGTAGCACATCCAGTCTGTCTACGCTGCTTATGGTGCAATGGGACCCCCCATCTCAGCATACAGTAATTGTTGGTTGGGATTAATTAAAAGCCGTCATTACTGTATACTCAGAGAAGGTTTCAGCAGCTGTAGCAAATATACAAACAATGCAACATATTGTTACTTTTGTATCAGTCTGTTTATTTCATCTGCAAAACAAAAAGGGAAGAACTTAGATCTGCAAATGATAATAATTAAATCAACCTGACAAGTGAAAAGAAAAAAGGTTTTTTTTTTCCCAATAAAGTGTTCCTGTTTATGTTTCCCGTTCCCTTATTGTACCTGGACTGCGGGGTTCCAATGGCTTTCTTCGTTGTTCCCTGTCTGTAGCCGTTAGCAGTGACATCCAGAGGCTGTTGTGGAACTGCACTCCAGCTGATGGCTGTGGACGAGGCATACAAGTATTAGGAGTAACAGTGCGCAAATCCCCAACACAAGTACCCACAGACAGTGTCCAACAGCAAGGATAATAACAACTGATTGACAAAATTCAACCCAATCAAAGATGTGAGGTTCTGAGGTCACCTGCCGCTAAGACTCATATTTCTGAACGACCTGCTACAGTCCGGGGGGCTCTGGTCGTCATGAACCCATCAAAGGGCGACTTCTACAGGCAGCTGATGAAGGGTCAGATCAGAAAAAGCATTGCCTGAGCCCTCCTAAATATGGATATTCTCAAAGCCAGTAATTTGTATAGCTACCCCCCCCCCCCCCCCCCCACACACACACACACACACACACACACACACACCCATACACACACACACCCGGGCCCACAGGCAATGCCTGATTGAAGGTCACTTAGCAAACACTGCAGTGGGGGCTTTGCCCCACCAAGGGCACGCTTCTGGGCTGGCTTGGTGGTGCCGCCCCACCCCTCCAGTGACGCGCTTCTGGTTCTCCCGTCCTCCATTCCCATCTCGGGAAAATATGACATGCGTTCCAGCTACTTTGATCTAAATGGAGAGCAGCCTTTCAGAATGGGGAGCAGCCCTTCGGAATGGGGAGCAGCCTTTCGGAACGGAGAGCAGTCCTTCGGAACGAGAGCAGCCCTTCGGAACGGAGAGCAGTCCTTCGGAACGGAGAGCAGTCCTTCGGAACGGAGAGCAGTCCTTCGGAACGGAGAGCAGTCCTTCGGAACGGAGAGCAGTCCTTCGGAACGGAGAGCAGTCCTTCGGAACGGAGAGCAGTCCTTCGGAACGGAGAGCAGTCCTTCGGAAATGGAGAGCAGTCCTTCAGGAACGGGAGCAGTCCTTCGGAACGGGAGAGCAGTCCTTCGGAACGGGAGCAGTCCTTCGAACGGGAGCAGTCTTTCAGTATGGAGAGCAGTCCTTCAGTATGGAGAGCAGTCCTTCAGAATGGAGAGCAGTCCTTCAGAATGGAGAGCAGTCCTTCAGAATGGAGAGCAGTCCTTCAGAATGGAGAGCAGTCCTTCAGAATGGAGAGCAGTCTTTCAGAATGGAGAGCAGCCTTTCAGTATGGAGAGCAGTCCTTCAGAATGGAGAGCAGTCCTTCAGAATGGAGAGCAGTCCTTCAGAATGGAGAGCAGTCCTTCAGAATGGAGAGCAGTCCTTCAGAATGGAGAGCAGTCCTTCAGAATGGAGAGCAGTCCTTCAGAATGGAGAGCAGTCCTTCAGAATGGAGAGCAGTCCTTCAGAATGGAGAGCAGTCCTTCAGAATGGAGAGCAGTCCTTCAGAATGGGGAGCAGCTTTTCAGAACGGGGAGCAGCCTTTCAGAATGGACAGCAGCCTTTCAGTATGGAGAGCAGTCCTTCAGAATGGAGAGCAGTCCTTCAGAATGGGGAGCAGCTTTTCAGAACGGGGAGCAGCCTTTCAGAATGGGGAGCAGCCTTTCAGAATGGGGAGCAGTCCTTCAGAATGGGGATCAGTCCTTCAGAATGGGGAGCAGCCTTTCAGAAAGGGGAGCAGTCCTGCAGAATGGGGAGCAGTCCTTCAGAATGGGGAACAGTCTTTCAGAATGGGGAGCAGTCCAGTCGAGGTTTGACATTTTGGCATATTTATTATATACGGTACCATTTAGTAGCGGTGCAGTGGGGAACATTCTATGATATATACGTATAAAAACACAACTAGAGACATATTTTATTAATTTTTTTAGATAGATAGAGATAGATGGAAAGATGGATGGATGGATGGATAGATAGAGTCATAGACAGATTTTGAGTCTTAGGCCATTCTTGAGTTGCTGGGTTGTACTTGTTTTTGGAGGATGACCCCCATGTCCAAGACCATTTAAATGGCCACTGATCACTAGGTTGGTATAGCTCTGAGGAAGGGGATTTGTCCCCCGAAATGCGTCAGCCGTCCAATCGTTTTGGTCCTGGGACGGGTTACATTGCGTTCAGCTGAAGCACATCCCCGGCATTTCTGTCAGATAACGCACCACTTCACCCAGAAAATAGTTGCAATGACAAATGTCTTGTGTTTATTTCTGTTGTTTGTATCGGTGACACAAAATAAAGTGGAGAAACAAAAAGCCAAATCTGACACATTTCATACAAAACCCCCAAAATGGACCGGACAAAATTATTGGCACCCTCCAATGTAATATTTGGTAGCACACCCCTTGTAAAAAATAACTGAAATCAATGGCTTCCTGTAACCATTAATGAGTCTCTCAGATTGACCCAAAGAACACGTCAGAAAGCCACCAGAAATGGTGTCAGACAAAGTGCTGGAGAGGACTGAACTGGCCAGCAATGAGTCCAGATCTCCATCCCATAGAGCTCCTGTGGAGAGATCTCAGGACCCAGGAGGTCCCCACTGTTGACACAGAAACATATTGGAAGCCAGATTGGAGTTTGCCAAAACTTACCTGAGAAAGCCAAAATCCTTCTGGGAAAATGTTCTGTGGACAGACGGAATAAAATGGCAGCATTTTGGTAAAGCCCATCATTCTAATGATTTCAGAAAAATAAATAAAAAAAGAAAAGAATCCAGTCCCTCCAGTCACACATGGTGGGGGGTCACTGATGTTTTGGGGTTGTTTTGCTGCTTCAGGCACTGGATGTCTTGACTGTGTGCATGGCATGAAATCTGAAGAATCTACTAAAGAATTCTGGGGTGCAATGTAGGGTCCGGTGTCAGAAAGTTGGGTCTCCATCAGAGGTCATGGGTCTTCCAGCAGGGCAATGACCCAAAGCACACGTCAAAAAGCCCCCAGAAATGGTTTCAGACAAAGCGCTGGAGAGGACTGAACTGGCCAGCAATGAGTCCAGATCTCCATCCCATAGAGCTCCTGTGGAGAGATCTCAGACCAGCAGTTGGGGAAAGGAACCTTCCAATCTGAGAGACCTGGAGCAGTTGGAGGAAGAAGAGCGATCCAAAATTCCAGAGAGGTGGAAGAAACTCATTGATGGTTCCAGGAAGCCATTGGTTTCAGTTATTTTTTCCAAGGGGTGTGCTACCAAATATTACATGGAGGGTACCAATAATTTTGTCCAGTCTGGGGGGACGACAAGATTTTTCGCCATGACTGTATACATATACGTTAGGTCCTGGAAATAAATAACTGAGGCCCAGTACGGCTCACCTGCCCCACAAGGAACCAGTTTTTTTGAGTGGTCTCCGTTTCTCAGCGCCTCCCTCCCATGGAGGAACTGTACATGTGATTGCCTGATCTCCAATGCATGCGCTGTAAATCCTTCTGGGAGAGCCGTCACTTTTGCGCACCTGCCGGTGAGAAGAGATGTCACGCTCTAGGCCATTGGTTGCCCACAGCAAAGCACACATACATCATACAAATACCTGCCGTGCAGAGCCCTCTCCATTGCCTCCAAGCTGAGTGGACACTTTCCAACCACAAGCGATGCAAAGTAGATGGGCTGTTGCAGAAAATGCATAAGTAGCGCCCCCTGGCAGCCGAGCACGTTCCATCGGGCCATCTTATCGCTGCAGGACATGGACAGAGTGGGATCGCCTCGGCCTGGCTTGACACGGAGCACCCCCACAGTGTGATAGTCCACCCCGGGTTGCGACTATCCTGGGCTTCCCCAGGCACACACTTGGCTCCTGTCCTGTAGATATCCGACGCTTTAGGTGCATTGCGACCTTCTTCCTGGTCACGTGACTCATCTCTACTCTCCACTCCTTCTTGTTTCACTCTCTTGGTGCCCCAGGAAGGATCACAGTCCACCATCTTCCTCTTACACCCCGAATTTAAAGAGTTGATGACCGGTGATGTCTTCTGTGAAACAATGGAAGTGGGGCAGAGCTGGTCTTCTGGGGGACTCATGGGGATGATGGATGCATCACCACCTGGGAAGAAAAGGGTTAACATATCAAATATGGAGAAATTGTAATGGGATCTTGGAGCCCATAGCTGACCTATCAGATCCCTCAAACAACTTTTTCTTTGTTGTGTCTCAGTGAGGCTGATCTCCTGCGGACTCTCTGCAGCCACTTCATGCCTACATGCAGTGGTTGGGGCTTCCTGATGGGGACAACAATGACCCGAGAATACAAGATGAGCATTGAAATGGCCATTCATAGTCTGTCAAAGGCCAGTGTGACAACACAGGACCACAATTGGTAATCAGGGAGAGAGAGTTGTCACCCTATAACAGGAAGTAACTGAATGAGGAGCTTCATGGCAGGATCACCAAGTATTAAAACTGTACACAAAAAAATAAATAAAATAAAACCTGACTTTTAAAATCATATTAAACCCAACTTTTAGAAAACTACTAGCAGGCAGATCTTTAAATAAAAGGTATGCATTCCCTTTAAGTAAATAAAAGCTGTATTTGTGAACGGCGGCCATACTGGGAGACCTCCCGTGAGACACGTACAAGGTGTGTGGCTGGTGAAGAACACAAAGGAGACCCCGGCTCTCATGGTCCACTTTCGGCTCTCACTTCCAGGAACGAGGACGCTGTCTTGACTCTCCAATGCCAGGGCAAGCTGATGGAGGAGGTACCTGGCCCGAGAGAGGATGAGAATCCGGTCAGTTCATTCTCCTGGCGTATAAAACAAACCTTTTAGCTGCCAGTTGAAGAGTTCTTACAGCCAAGAATGGCGCCTGCAGGGGGAGTGAGCGGCTGAGCGCTCTGGGTGATCACATGACTTACTGATGTCGGGCAAAAGCCCACGCCGGCAGCGTTGGGGACCAATAAACATCACACAAGATTTATAAAACATTCCTCATCTGAAACATTTCCATCGTAAGACAACCCGGGGAAGGTGGCATCTGAAGCTCAACTCCGAACACCAAAACCTTCATGTAAAGCGACTCTAAGCGGCTAAAGCCGGATTAACCCAAAAGAAAACGTTTATTATATTGCAGATTACCAACAGAGCATGTAGGGCTCATTCATTACAGGGCCTGAAATCAGATACATTGTTACCTTGCAGGTTGCTAGACACTCCTACCGGGGATCGCATCCCGTGTCCCCCCTACCGGGGATCGCATCCCGTGTCCCCCCTGCCGGGGATCGCATCCCGTGTCCCCCCTCCCGGGGATCGCATCCCGTGTCCCCCTCCCGGGGATCGCATCCCGTGTCCCCCTACCAGGGATCGCATCCCGTGTCCCCCTATCGTGGATCGCATCCCGTGTCCCCCTATCGTGGATCGCATCCCGTGTCCCCCTACCAGGGATCGCATCCCGTGTCCCCCTATCGTGGATCGCATCCCGTGTCCCCCTACTGGGGATCGCATCCCGTGTCCCCCTACCGGGGATCGCATCCCGTGTCACCCTACCGGGGATCGAATCCCGTGTCACCCTCCCGGGGATCGCATCCCGTGTCACCCTCCCGGGGATCGCATCCCGTGTCCCCCTACCAGGGATCGCATCCCGTGTCCCCCTATCGTGGATCGCATCCCGTGTCCCCCTATCGTGGATCGCATCCCGTGTCACCCTATCGGGGATCGTATCCCGCGTCCCCCTACCGGGGATCGTATCCCGCGTCCCCCTACCGGGGATCGCATCCCGTGTCACCCTATCGGGGATCGCATCCCGTGTCCTCCTACCAGGGATCACATTCTACGCTCCCTCTACCAGGGATCGCATCCCTTGTCCCCCTACCGGAGACCCTCTGCCGGGGATCGCATCCCGTGTCCCCCTGCCGGGGATCGCATCCCGCGTCCCCCTGCCGGGGATCGCATCCCGCGTCCCCCTGCCGGGGATCGCATCCCGCGTCCCCCTGCCGGGGATCGCATCCCGCGTCCCCCTGCCGGGGATCGCATCCCGCGTCCCCCTGCCGGGGATCGCATCCCGCGTCCCCCTGCCGGGGATCGCATCCCGCGTCCCCCTGCCGGGGATCGCATCCCGCGTCCCCCTGCCGGGGATCGCATCCCGCGTCCCCCTGCCGGGGATCGCATCCCGCGTCCCCCTGCCGGGGATCGCATCCCGCGTCCCCCTGCCGGGGATCGCATCCCGCGTCCCCCTGCCGGGGATCGCATCCCGCGTCCCCCTGCCGGGGATCGCATCCCGCGTCCCCCTACCGGGGATCGCATTCTACTCTCCCTACCGGGGATCGCATCCCGTGTCCCCCGCCAGGGATCGCATCCCGTGTCCCCCGCCAGGGATCGCATCCCGTGTCCCCCGCCAGGGATCGCATCCCGTGTCCCCCGCCAGGGATCGCATCCCGTGTCCCCCCCGCCAGGGATCGCATCCCGTGTCCCCCGCCAGGGATCGCATCCCGTGTCCCCCGCCAGGGATCGCATCCCGTGTCCCCCGCCAGGGATCGCATCCCGTGTCCCCCCCTGCCAGGGATCGCATCCCGTGTCCCCCTGCCAGGGATCGCATCCCGTATCCTCCTGCCAGGGATCGCATCCCACGTCCCCCCCCAGGGACATCGCAGGGATTTTAAACTTTGTAGCAGATTCCTCCCTTTTGTTACTCTGGAGAAATCTCTGTTTGTTTCTCTGTGTCCTGTGCAGAGTGACTGTGAATGGGAGCGACTTTATAATGATCAATCAGCTGCTGCGCCTGCAGGGCTCTAATGAGGAAAGCGGCAGGGTCTGCATCCCTTTAGACGTGATTTCCTTTTGGGAGTATCTGACCAAAATTACATTTTTGTTGCAGGAGATGCCCAAATCTGACTTGTATCTTAGTGCAGACTTCTGGGGAAATCAGTGAGCCAATCACACAAGCAGGAAATTACATTTACAGGGGGGTTCTCCACACCATGTGTGTGCACGCCGCCTTGTTGCCATGTTGCATTTTTTTTTTTAAATTACAGCAGCTGAAAATTGAGGTTGTTTTTAATGACAGTTATGATTGTAGAAATTGTACACGCCATATATTTTTTAATTTGCTATTTTTCTCCCCACGGAAGTGGAGTTACCCTTTAACTAGTGTTTTCTGTGTGCTTAGCCTCCACTTCCCCGCACCATGCGGTTGTACGATTTCTGCTGTTGTAGCGTTCTGCCACCTGCTGGTGATCGGAGGGTATTACCTTTATAAATATAACCCAAACAGTGACTAAATAAAAAGGAATCAACTATAAAGCGATACTAAACCCAAAATCAAACATCTAACAATATCACAGCCTACCGATTCTGAGATGTCATGGCTGCATTAGTTTTCTTTTGAGACTTACTTTACTTTATTTTCATCCAGTGATCCAGCCAGTAAGTCTGCCGTTTTCAACAGTACAATCTCTTTTGCAAATGTTCCAGTTACAGGTATGGGGCAAACCATTAACCACTGACAGGGGTGCTGACAATAATCAGCTTTTATTCATTTAAAACGGAACTTCACTCAAAAAGTGAAGTCCCACAGGTTCGCTCCCATCCCCCAGTCTGTAACTGTTTTTTTTTTTCTTTGGGGGGGGGGGGGGCGGTGAGTACGGATTTTTAGCAGTACCTGTTTCCACTTCCTTAATCCTTGCCTAAGCAAGAATGACACCCCTTGCCCCGCCCCCTCCTGCGGCTCCAGTGCAATTTTTTTATTTTTTTTGCACAGGTGTCAGAATCTTCACTTTGGCCTTAAAATTACTTAAGGGCCCCCCCCCCCCAAGAACATGATATATTTTCTGAAAGCAGAGGCCCTGTAGAATCCTCGAGAGGGGAGGTGTTAAAGTTCTTGTGTTAGAATGATCGTTTTTACGGCGATATGTCACACGTGTGGTGCGTCCGCAGTTTACATTACAGGTGCACACCCTGGACTTGCGTTTGCACAGGTGTGTGGGGCAACGGAGGATACGGCAAATTTTTTTTTTTTCATTTTTTTTATTATAATTTTATTTTTTTTTAACTTTTTTTCTTTATTTTTACTTGATTGCTATCACAAGCGGTTAATAAACCCCTCACGTGATAAATGCGCTCGGGTAGGTGACAGGTACTCTTTATGGAAACATTAGGGGTCTACTAGACCCTCAATGTCTCCGCTGCCCTTCACACCATCTAACCGAACGCAGATCGACTTGGTTATATGTGTCCTCTGGCTGTACTGGCCAGGAAAGGGTGCATCTGAAACCGGAAGTGACATCACTTCCGGTTACGCTGTTTGCATGTGAGATCGCAGCATGGATTCGCCTCAGTCTCACAGCGCTCTCCCTCCCCTAGCCAGCGGGTTCCCGGGCTTTGGTGAGAGCGGGAGAGCCTGGGAACCATGGGAGGGGGGGTGCGCCGTCGGGAGGGGGGGGGACTGCGCTGTTGGCTCTGTGAAAGGGTCGGCAATATGGAGCTGCCGCACTTTCAAGCCAGCCGTGGAACAAAGTAAAACTACCTGCGGCTCCAATGATCAAGAGCCATTTCCCATAATACAGCTACTTTACTGTCACTAATGCAGGACATAGCATTCTGGCCGCCGAGCGACAAATTACAGGAATGTACAGAATAGAATTCCCCATGTGATAACATTGGGCAGGTGACAGGTACTCTTTATGGAGACATTAGGGGTCTACTAGACCCTCAATGTCTCCCCTGCCCTTCACAGCATCTAACCGAGCGCAGAGCGTGTCCTCTGGCTGTACTGGCCAGGAAAGGGTGCATCTGAAACCGGAAGTGACATCACTTCCTGTTTTGCTGTTTGCATGTGAGATCACGGCATGGATTTGCCTCGGTCTCACACAGCGCTCTCCCTCACCTAGCCAGCGGGTTCCCGGGCTCTGGTAAGAGCAGGAGAGCCCGGGAACCACGGGAGGGGGGGGTGCCGGTGGTAGGGGGGGGACTGCGCTGCCGGCTCTGTGAAAGGGTCGGCAATATGGAGCTGCCGCACATTCAAGTCAGCCGTGGAACGACGTAAAACTACCTGCGGCTCCCGATGATCAAGAGCCATTTCCCATAATGCAGCTACTTTACTGTCTCTAATGCAGGACATTGCGTTCTGGCCGCAGAGCGACAAATTACAGGGATGTACAGAGTAGAATTCCCCATGTGATAACATTGGCAGGTGACAGGTACTCTTTATGTAAACATTAGGGGTCTACTAGACCCTCAATGTCTCCCCCCCGGCCTTCACACCATCTAACCGAACGCATATCAATTTGGTTAGATGTGTCTCTGGCTGTACTGGCCAGGAAAGGGTGCATCTGAAACCGGAAGTGACATCACTTCCTGTTTCGCTGTTTGCATGTGAGTTCACGGCATGGATTCGCGTCGGTCTCACCACGCTCTCCCTCCCCTAGCCAGCGGGTTCCCGGGCTCTGGTGAGAGCGGAAGAGCCCAGGAACCACGGGAGGGGAGTGCGACGGTGGGGAGGGGGGGACTGCGCTGCTGGCTCTGTGAAAGGGTCGGCAATATGGAGCTGCCTCACTTTCAAGCCAGCTAAACAAAACTACTGCAGCCATTAGTTTCTGATTAAAGGTGCACTCTTTGTAAGTACGTAGTACACGGCATGGATTTGCCTTGGTCTCACAGCGCTCTCCCTCCCCTAGCCAGCAAGTTCCCGGGCTCTGGTAAGAACGGGAGAGCCCGGGCACCACGGGAGGGGAGTGCGCCTCACAGCGCTCTCCCTCCCTTGCCAGTGGGTTCCCAGGCTCTGGTGAGAGCGGGAGAGCCTAGGAACCATGGGAGGGGGGTGCGGGGACACTGCGCTGCCGGCTCTGTGAAAGGGTCGGCAATATGGAGCTGCCGCACTTTCAAGCCGGCTAAACGAAACTACTGCAGCCATCCGCACACTCTTTGGAAGTACGTAGTACGCCCAAAGAGCTGGACCGGGTTAATACCTCCCGGAACTCAACTTTTGGATCCTCGGCGCTTTCGTTGTACAGCCAACTTTAAGAAGCCAGACACAAGAAGAGCGCACTCGTCCCTGTGCCGCGCTGAGATTACTCAATTTAAAGTCTACCATTTTTTTGGAAAAATCACAGAACCTGAGCCAGCTGCAGAACGACGTAAAACTACCCGCGGCTCCGATGATCAAGAGCCATTACCCATAATGCAGCTACTTCACTGTCTCTAATGCAGGACATTGCGTTCCGGCCGGGCGAGCGACAAATTACAGGGATGTGCAGAATAGAATTCCTACCTCTGAAAACTTCGCTTTGCAATTATCTCTGCATGGCTGTCCTGGAGAATATCACCTGAGAAAGATGAGAAAAAAAAAAAGGTCATAAGAGGATTTCTGGATTAAAGTGAAATTTCACAGTTTATTTATTTTCAAATAAAAAATAATGAAATGAAAAAAAAATTATTTAAAAAAAAAAAAAAAAAAAAAATTTGAAAAAAGATCCTATCCACTGCTATGGATAAAAAAAAAAAACAAAACTAATAAAAAAAAAAAAAAAAACACACAAAACAAAAAAAAATACGTTTCCTTCAAGCCAAGGCAAAGGATCACATGGTCACTGACTACAAGCAGCATCGTGGGTGTTCCATGTCATCAGAGTTTTTATCAGGCTCGGGGGAAAGCGCCTGAAGACAGGACTGCTTGTGTATCCCACAGCAACACAGATCGGCTCCTGAGGACAATGCACATTGATGACGAAACACGTGGGGTGGGGGGGGCTTTCAAGTGATGTCACTTCCTGTCCTGGGCGGAACTTCCAGGTGACATCACATCCTGTGTTTGGAACGTATGCCAAATCCACTAGCCCAAGGTATAAAATTCTAAATACTAACCACAACATACAAGGCCATCCACAACACCGCCCCCAGCTACATCACCAACCTCGTCTGCAGATGTCGCCCAAACCGTCCACTCCGCTCCTCCCAAGACCTCCTGCTCTCCAGTTCCCTTGTTACCTCCTCCGATGCTCGCCTCCAGGACTTCTCCAGAGCCTCTCCCATCCTCTGGATCTCCCTGCCCCAGTATGTCTGGTTAGCTCCTACAACATCGCCCCCAGCTACATCACCAACCTCATCTGCAGATGTTGCCCAAACCGTCCTCTCCGCTCCTCCCAAGACCTCCTGCTCTCCAGTTCCCTTGTTACCTCCTCCGACGCTCGCCTCCAGGACTTCTCCAGAGCCTCTCCCATCCTCTGGATCTCCCTGCCCCAGTATGTCTGGTTAGCTCCTACAACATCGCCCCCAGCTACATCACCAACCTCGTCTGCAGATGTCGCCCAAACCGTCCACTCCGCTCCTCCCAAGACCTCCTGCTCTCCAGTTCCCTTGTTACCTCCTCCGATGCTCGCCTCCAGGACTTCTCCAGAGCCTCTCCCATCCTCTGGATCTCCCTGCCCCAGTATGTCTGGTTAGCTCCTACAACATCGCCCCCAGCTACATCACCAACCTCATCTGCAGATGTTGCCCAAACCGTCCTCTCCGCTCCTCCCAAGACCTCCTGCTCTCCAGTTCCCTTGTTACCTCCTCCGACGCTCGCCTCCAGGACTTCTCCAGAGCCTCTCCAATCCTCTGGATCTCCCTGCCTCAGTGTGTCCGGTTAGCTTCTACAACATCGCCCCCAGCTACATCACCAACCTCATCTGCAGATGTTGCCCAAACCGTCCTCTCCGCTCCTCCCAAGATCTCCTTCTCTCCAGTTTCCTTGTTACCTCCTCCGACGCTTGCTTCCAGGACTTCTTCAGAGCCTATCCCATGCTCTGGATCTCCCTGCCCCAGTATGTCCAGTTACCTCCTACAACATCGCCCCCAGCTACATCACCAACCTCGTCTGCAGATATTGCCCAAACCGTCCTCTCCGCTCCTCCCAAGACTTCCTGCTCTCCTCTCCAGTTCCCTTGTTACCTCCTCCCACGCTTGCCTCCAGGACTCCTCCAGAGCCTATCTCATCCTCTGGATCTCCCTGCCCCCAGAATGTCCAGTTAGCTCCTACAACATCGCCCCCAGCTACATCACCAACCTCATCTGCAGATGTCGCCAAAACCGTCCTCTCCGCTCCTCCCACGCCTTCCTGCTCTCCAGTTCCCTTGTTACCTCTCCCGCGCTCGCCTCCAGGACTTCTCCAGAGCCTCTCCCATCCTCTGGAACTCCCTGCCCCAGTATGTCCGGTCAGCTCCTACAACATCGCGCCCAGATACATCACCAACCTCATCTGCAAAAGGCGGGAAATCCTCTGGAGGGCGAGGGGTTAAAGGTCGCCTTACTGAGTGCACAGATAACCAAATCTCACCCGCAGTAACCACGTGTTGTCAGGGACACTTACCTGTTTTGCTCAATCTTGATTGGCCGATACATTTTGTCCCGGTTCCCAAGGCAACGACTGTTAACAAAAACCAAACGTTTTACAGTTAGAAGAGCGGATAAAAAGGCAAAAACTTTTGGAGTGTAAAAAGAAGCTGTGCGCCACCTGCTGGACACAGAGAGTAAGTTACAAAAACCAGAGAACCAAAAGCAAAAAGGTAACTCCCAGCGACCAGATCTGCTGCGCCGAGTTCCTCCTTCCAGATTTGTAAATAAGCCGCATTATGACAATCAGTCCAAGGACCTCTAGACACAGGACACGCCCTGCCGATCCACAAACCACTACGTACAAAGCAGACATTATACAGGGTCTCTACATCCACCGTCACCTAGTGTACAGCTTCTGAAATCCTGGTCCATGGCAAGTGCTGGGAAGTCTAACCAATTGACTTAAAGTAGCACTCTTCCCACATACAATCACAGAATGTCTTGTATTCCGTGAAAGAATACAAGATGTTTTCTGAATGGACGAGATGGAGCGATGTGCTATCAGAGATGTACTAAAGCCGAAACCGGGCTAGTTTACACTAGCTTTGCTCTCTGAAGAGCAAGACGCGTTCAAAATGCTCTTCAGAGGGCATTTCACAGGTAATATAATGCCAGCTTGAACCTAATACTAGTTCAGTGGTGTCCAAACTGCGGCCATGGGGCCGGATGTGGCCCTTTGATTGCCTTTATCCAGCCCTTGGGACACTATTTCATTCACTGACACCAACGAAGGGGCGCAATTTCTCCCAATGACACCAACAATGAGGTACAGTTCCTTCTAATGACACCAACAATGGAGCTTAATGACACGGCAAAATCCCTACCCAATGACACCAACATTGGGGCACAGTTCCTCCCAATGAAACTAACAATGGGGCCTAATGACATCAACGATGGGGCAACATTCCTACCCAATGACACAAAAAATGGGGCACAGTTCCTCCCAATGAAACCAACAATGGGGACCAATGACAACAATGATAAGGCTCAATTCCTTCCAATGAAACCAACGATGAGGCACAATTCCTGCCAATGGCACCAACATTGGGGCACAATTCCTGCCAATGACACCAGTTATAGGGCACAGTTCCTCCCAATGACACCAACAATGGGGCACAATTCCTGCCAATGGCACCAACATTGGGGCACAATTCCTGCCAATGACACCAGTTATAGGGCACAGTTCCTCCCAATTACACCAACAATGGGGCCCAATGACACCAATGGTGGGGTACAATTCCTACCAATGAGAATGATGGGGCACAGTTCCTCCTAATGACACCAGCAATGGGGCCCAATGACACCAATGGTGGGGCACAATTCGTACCAATGACATCAATGATGGGGCATTGTTTACTGCAAATGATGCCACAACACTTTCTACTTTTGATGGCCACAGTCCGGCCCCCCTAAAGTCTGAAGGACAGTAAACTGGCCCCTTGTTTGGAAAGTTTGGAGAGCCCTGTACTAGTGCATGAGGTTGGAGGGAGATGCAGGTAATTATGCTGAGTTCAGCAGGAGGTACGGTCCGCTGAAGGCGGCAGCAGGGAGAACTCTTGCCGCGCCATGATACAAAGCACTGCGGCTGCAGCACATACGAGGGGTGTCTAAACATTTGGGTGAATGGTCCGATATCTCAATGACAGCCTGGGCCAGGTTCACACGCATGCACATGACTATCCAGAGACACGCCGAGAAGCGCCACCTAGGGTCACAGTGCAATGGAGTAATCAGTGAACATCGAGTTCTGCTACAAACTGGGGAAAGCGGCAACGGAGACGCAGGAAATGTTGGTGTGAGTGTACGGGACGGAGCGTACTGGGACGGAGCGTACAGGGCAGAGCGTACGGGACGGAGCGTACTGGGGCAGAGCATACGGGGCGGAGTGTACTGGGGCAGAGTGTACGGGATGGAGTGTACTGGGGCAGAGCATACGGGGCGGAGTGTACTGGGGCGGAGCGTACGGGATGGAGTGTACTGGGGCAGAGTGTACGGGACGGAGTGTACTGGGGCAGACTGTACTGGGGCAGAGTGTACTGGGGCAGAGTGTACGGGACGGAGCGTACTGGGGTGGAGCGTACGGGGCGGAGCGTACTGTGGCGGAGTGTACGGGGCGGAGTGTACTGGGGCGGAGTGTACTGGGGCGGAGTGTACTGGGGCGGAGTGTACTGGGGCGGAGTGTACTGGGGCGGAGTGTACTGGGGCGGAGCGTACTGGGGCGGAGCGTACTGGGGCGGAGTGTACGGGACGAAGTGTACTAGGGCGAAGTGTACGAGACGGAGTGTACTGGGGCAGAGCGTACGGGACGGAGTGTACTGGGGCGGAGTGTACGGGACGGAGTGTACTAGGACGGAGTGTACAGGACGGAGTGTACTAGGACGGAGTGTACTGGGGCGGAGTGTACGGGACGGAGTGTACGGGACGGAGTGTACGGGACGGAGTGTACTGGGGCAGACCGTATGGGACAGAGCGTACTGGGGCAGAGCGTATGGGACAGAGCGTACTGGGGCAGAGCGTATGGGACAGAGCGTACTGGGGCGGAGTGTACTGGGGCGGAGCGTACTGGGGCGGAGTGTACTGGGGCGGAGCGTACGGGATGGAGTGTACTGGGGCAGAGTGTACGGGACGGAGTGTACTGGGACGGAGTGTACTGGGGCAGAGTGTACTGGGGCAGAGTGTACTGGGGCAGAGTGTACTGGGGCAGAGTGTACTGGGGCAGAGTGTACTGGGGCAGAGTGTACGGGGCACGGAGCGACGGAGCGTACGGGACGGAGCGTACGGGACGGAGCGTACGGGACGGAGCGTACGGGACGGAGCGTACGGGACGGAGCGTACGGGACGGAGCGTACGGGACGGAGCGTACGGGACGGAGCGTACGGGGGAGCGTACGGGAGGAGCGTACTGGGGTGGAGCGTACTGGGGTGGAGCGTACGGGACGGAGTGTACTGGGGTGGAGCGTATGGGACAGAGCGTACTGGGGCAGAGCGTATGGGACAGAGCGTACTGGGGCAGAGTGTACTGGGGCAGAGCGTATGGGACAGAGCGTACTGGGGCAGAGCGTACGGGGCGGAGTGTACTGGGGCGGAGCGTACGGGACGGAGTGTACTGGGGCGGAGTGTACGGGACGGAGTGTACTGGGGTGGAGTGTACGGGACGGAGGGTACTGGGGTGGAGCGTACGGGGCGGAGTGTACTGGGGCGAAGCGTATGGGACAGAGCGTACTGGGACAGAGCGTACTGGGGCGGAGTGTACTGGGGCGGAGCGTACGGGACGGAGTATACTGGGGCGGAGTGTACGGGACGGAGTGTACTGGGGTGGAGTGTACTGGGGTGGAGCATACGGGACGGAGTGTAATGGGGTGGAGCATACGGGGCGGAGTGTACTGGGGCGGAGTGTACGGGACGGAGTGTACTGGGACGGAGTGTACTGGGGCGGAGCGTACGGGACGGAGTATACTGGGGCGGAGTGTACGGGACGGAGTGTACTGGGGTGGAGTGTACTGGGGTGGAGCATACGGGACGGAGTGTACTGGGGTGGAGCATACGGGGCGGAGTGTACGGGACGGAGTGTACTGGGGGAGTGTACTGGGGCGGAGTGTACTGGGGCGGAGTGTACTGGGGCGGAGTGTACTGGGGCGGAGCGTATGGGACAGAGCGTACAGGGGTGAAGCATACGGGGTGGAGTGTACCCGCTCCCCCCCCAGGATTGGAGAGGTTGCCACTGTCCCTGTATAATCCATTACAAGCCAAGGCAACCTGGGGCATTGCGTTCTGCCATGCTGGGACTTGTAGTGCTTCTAGATCTGCCAGCTGTCCCAATACAAGCCAGGGGCAACCTGCGGTGCTCATCCTGCCATGCTGGGACTTGTAGTGCCTCTAGTACTGTCATCTGTTCCAATACAAGCCAGGGCATCCTGCAGTGCTCATCCTGCCATGCTGGGACTTGTAGTGCCTTTAGTGCTGTCATCTGTCCCAATACAAGCCAGGGAAAATGCGCTGCTCATTCTGCGACTTGTGAAGATGTCCAACAATTCCTTGCGATTTCTATTATATTCTATGTACGTGAAATCGCAATAAACTGCAGAAAAAGTCACGCAAGAACTACTTTAGAAATCGCTCTGCAGTGTACTGGGGCGGAGTGTACTGGGGCGGAGTGTACTGGGGCGGAGCGTACTGGGGCGGAGCGTACTGGGGCGGAGCGTACTGGGGCGGAGTGTACGGGACGAAGTGTACTAGGGCGAAGTGTACGAGACGGAGTGTACTGGGGCAGAGCGTACGGGACGGAGTGTACTGGGGCGGAGTGTACGGGGAGTGTACTGGGGCGGAGTGTACTAGGACGGAGTGTACTGGGGCGGAGTGTACGGGACGGAGCGTACGGGACGGAGCGTACGGGACGGAGCGTACGGGACGGAGCGTACGGGACGGAGCGTACGGGACGGAGCGTATGGGGCAGAGCGTACTGGGGCGGAGTGTACTGGGGCGGAGCGTACGGGATGGAGTGTACTGGGACGGAGTGTACTGGGGCAGAGTGTACTGGGACGGAGTGTACGGGACGGAGTGTACTGGACGGAGTGTACTGGACGGAGTGTACTGGGGCGGAGCGTACGGGACGGAGCGTACGGGACGGAGCGTACGGGACGGAGCGTACGGGACGGAGCGTACGGGACGGAGCGTACGGGACGGAGCGTACGGGACGGAGCGTACGGGACGGAGCGTACGGGACGGAGCGTACGGGACGGAGCGTACGGGACGGAGCGTACGGGACGGAGCGTACGGGACGGAGCGTACGGGACGGAGCGTACGGGACGGAGCGTACGGGACGGAGCGTACTGGGGTGGAGCGTACTGGGGTGGAGCGTACTGGGGTGGAGCGTACTGGGGTGGAGCGTACGGGACAGAGCGTACTGGGGCAGAGCGTATGGGACAGAGCGTACTGGGGCAGAGTGTACTGGGGCAGAGCGTATGGGACAGAGCGTACTGGGGCGGAGCGTACGGGGCGGAGTGTACTGGGGCGGAGCGTACGGGACGGAGTATACTGGGGCGGAGTGTACGGGACAGAGTGTACTGGGGTGGAGTGTACGGGACGGAGGGTACTGGGGTGGAGCGTACGGGGCGGAGTGTACTGGGGCGAAGCGTATGGGACAGAGCGTACTGGGACAGAGCGTACTGGGGCGGAGTGTACTGGGGCGGAGCGTACGGGACGGAGTATACTGGGGCGGAGTGTACGGGACGGAGTGTACTGGGGTGGAGTGTACTGGGGTGGAGCATACGGGACGGAGTGTACTGGGGTGGAGCATACGGGGCGGAGTGTACTGGGGCGGAGTGTACGGGACGGAGTGTACTGGGACGGAGTGTACTGGGGCGGAGCGTACGGGACGGAGTATACTGGGGCGGAGTGTACGGGACGGAGTGTACTGGGGTGGAGTGTACTGGGGTGGAGCATACGGGACGGAGTGTACTGGGGTGGAGCATACGGGGCGGAGTGTACGGGACGGAGTGTACTGGGACGGAGTGTACTGGGACGGAGTGTACTGGGGCGGAGTGTACTGGGGCGGAGTGTACTGGGGCGGAGCGTATGGGACAGAGCGTACAGGGGTGAAGCATACGGGGTGGAGTGTACCCGCTCCCCCCCCAGGATTGGAGAGGTTGCCACTGTCCCTGTATAATCCATTACAAGCCAAGGCAACCTGGGGCATTGCGTTCTGCCATGCTGGGACTTGTAGTGCTTCTAGATCTGCCAGCTGTCCCAATACAAGCCAGGGGCAACCTGCGGTGCTCATCCTGCCATGCTGGGACTTGTAGTGCCTCTAGTACTGTCATCTGTTCCAATACAAGGCAGGGCATCCTGCGGTGCTCATCCTGCCATGCTGGGACTTGTAGTGCCTTTAGTGCTGTCATCTGTCCCAATACAAGCCAGGGAAAATGCGCTGCTCATTCTGCGACTTGTGAAGATGTCCAACAATTCCTTGCGATTTCTATTATATTCTATGTACGTGAAATCGCAATAAACTGCAGAAAAAGTCACGCAAGAACTACTTTAGAAATCGCTCTGCAGCAAATCGCACGTGTTAAAGTGGAGTTCCACTCACCTGTCAAAAAGTAAAACTCAGCATCTACAAAAACTGTAGCTGCTGACTTTTAAAAAACAGCCACTTACCTGTCCCTCGGTGTGTCCCCCGCAGCCCGTTTCACCGGCTGTCCTGTATTCCAGGCTCCAACATCTTCAGTGTGGGCACCCGGCTGTGACAGCTTGCGGCTTCACAGCCGAGTGCCCAGTGTGCGAGCAGCGCTGCGCTTCATGAATGGTCCTGTAGTCTTCTAGGACCTGTCACGTGTCCCAAAAGACTACAGGGAGGGAGGATACCTTCCGTTTTCGATCGCCTTGGCGATCCGACCGGAATTGGGTGCCGGTACCTGTCAAATTCAGGTACCCACTTTCCCGCCCCCCAAAGGTGCCAATCCTTAATGGGGAGTGGGGGAGCAGTCCTTAAAGCGGAACTTCCCCTTTTGGGTGGAGCTCCGCTTTCAGACGCTGACATTCATTAGATGTGACTTCAATCCTCAAATCGCATCGGTGTGACGGGCACTTAGTTTGATAACACCTACGAGATGCAAACCTTTCTTGGTGCAAGCTGCCCCCTGCGCACCGTCCACTTGTACGACAGCCGCCAGCAGCGTCCATTCTCTGCTCGGGTCCGGCTGGCCTTGTTTGGGTAACCCGGTCCGGTAATGGCGGTAGCACAATGCTGCGATTTCATCTGCTGTCCAGGACCTGCGTCAGAGGGGAGAGGGTCACATGACATGCCAAAGAACGATTCCATCTATTAAAGGCCGACTCCGCCTACAGCGGATATTTCGGTAATCTCGCATACGCCGAGCAGCTCCTCCCACCAGATGAGGTCACACTAATAAATAATGGAAGGATCCAGTGGAAGGATTTTGGCAGCAGTTTGCAGGTGTTCAGGTGGCGATAGTGCCCTCCCAAACGCCATTTTTTTTTTTCCTTTTACGATCTCAAAAGGGATTTTACATTGAAATAACATGACTGGCCCCTCACACTCCAGGGTCCTGACACCACCAAGATCAGCGCAGGGTCCATAGCCCCGCACTGGGTGTGAAGATGCCCAGGGGGGGACAGCCCACTGCTGGATCATGGAGAAGCGCCCCCCTGCCGAGGGAGCGGAAGATCAGTAAAGTAAACTGGATTCTACTCCCCCCACCTTCCTGGACTAAACCAGCTATTAACCCTCGCAGTGCCCCCCCCCTCCCCCAGGAACAGTCCCTGATTTGTCCGGATTGGGCTTTGACCTACGTGGTCAACTAAGACCGGGCAAACTGGGACTTGTAGTGCATCCAGAACTGGAGAGGTTGCCACTGTCCCTGTATAATCCATTATAAGCCAAGGCAACCTGGGGGGCGTTAGGTTCTGCCATGCTGGGACTTGTAGTGCTTCTAGAGCTGCCAGCTGTCCCAAAACAAGCCAGGGCATCCTGTGGTGCTCATCCTGCCATGCTGGGACTTGTAGTACCGCTAGTGCTGTCATCTGTCCCAATACAAGCCAAAGCATCATACGGTGCTCATCCTGCCATGCTGGGACGTGTAGTGCTTCTAGTGCTGCCAGCTGTCCCAATACAAACCAGGACATCCTGCGGTGCTCATCCTACCATGCTGGGACTTGTAGTGCCTCAAGTGCTGTCATCTGTCCCAATACAAGCCAGGGGCATCCTGTGGTGCTCATCCTGCTATGCTGGGACTTGTAGTACCGCTAGTGCTGTAATTTGTCCTAATACAAGCCAGGACATCCTGCGGTGCTCATCCTGCTATGCTGGGACTTGTAGTACCTCTATAGCTGTCCTTGTATGGCTTGTTACATGCAAAGGACACCCTGCAGTGACAGCTCCTGCCATGCTGGGACGTGCAGTGCCTCCAGAACTGTCAGTTGTCCCAGTGCAGTGGTGACCCTCTAGCCACGCTGGGACTTGTAGTGCTCCTGGAGCTGGCAGCTGCCCTTCTATGGCCCAATACAAGCCAGTGCACCCTTCTGGTGATTATTCTGGGACTTGTAGTGCCTCCAGAGCAGACCAGCTGCCCCAATACAAGCCAGGGCAGCCTACAGTGACAGCTTCTGCCATGCTGGGACTTGTGGTGCTCCTGGAGCTGCCTCTCTTTCTATAGTCCAGCCAACCTGAGGCCCTCCAGCTGCTCTCAGACAGGCTGGAGGTTGTGGTTCCCCCCAGGTCATGGTTGTTTATTTCTGTCCATTACCCAGCCATGCTGCTCCCAGGGTTGTCGCCTCCCGATGACGTCACACCCAGGGGTTCCTAATGAGGAGGTATTACGGGGGTCTGGGAGGGCCAGGTGTCGGTTCCCCTAACACAGGGGGAGCTCGTGAGGGTCCACCCCCATCACACCGTGCCCGCCTCACCGACCCAACAAACAGAAAGAAAAAGCGAGGGGAGCGGGGCATTCTGGGTAATGTAGTTACGGCGGGGCTCTGAGGCCTAGAAGGAAGGCAGCGCTGGACTACAACTCCCATAATACACCACGTAGCCAGACTTACAGAGGCAGAGGGGGTCTGGCTGCAGACTGGAGCTCCACTTTCGATAGGAAACATGTGACCTCAAGTCCCCTTTTTTTTTTTTTTTTTAATGAACTTCAATGTAACAAAAAACAACCAATAGCTGCAGACTGGAGCTCCACTCGACAGGAAACATGTGACCTTCACTTCCTGGAGTGTCTTTTGACAGAGTAGAGGTCACCTGCTTCCTGTCGAGTGGAGCTCCAGTCTGCAGCCATTGGTTTGTTTGTTGCATTGAACTTTTTTAATGGTGGTGTGGAGGTCACATGTTTCCTGTCAAAAGTGGAGCTGCAGTCTGCAACCAGACCCTCATGTAAAGATGTGACAGCGGCGTCCAGATGATTGCTGATATTAACCACTCCCCTCCCCCCACCATACTGCTCCTCCCCCCAGGGCGGGGCTGATATTTCCCAAAACCATTATTTTATATGTTAAAGTCAGCTTTTTTTTTTTTTTTTTTTTTATTTCTACAAAATGACTTCATACAGCAAATATGATATATTTTCCCAAAGCCGAGGCCCCGCGGAATAAAATGGCGGCTTCTGCGATTTGTATGATCACGCGGCATTTCTGCAGAAAATTATCAAATGTAAAATGAAACCCTTCAGTGAGTTGGAGTGCGACGGACCCAACAGACGACCCCCAACTGTGTATATAGATCCCTCCCCCCCAAGAGGGGCGCACGGCGGGAAATGGCAGTCCGTTCAGATTAGCTGATCGTTTTGTTTCGTCAGATTCGTTCTGTTAGAATAATTTCAGAATTCATTTCGCATCTTCGTTATTTTCAGATCAAATTGACATTCAGAATTTGAAAGACGGCTATATTGGTTGTAGTCTGTTCAAATAGTCTGTTCAAATCTATTCTATTCTGTTTTATTCTTTTTATATTTTATTCCTTTATTTTTTTTCTTATTCCTTTATTTTCTGTTTTATTCTATTCTATTCCTTTATTCTCTATTCGTTTTATTCTAGTTCCTTTTTTTTCTATCTCCTTTTCTATTTTATTCCCTTATTCTCTAAATTTTTTCAAATTTTTTTTTATTCTGTTCCTTTATTTTCTGTTTTATTTTTTTCTTTAATTTTTTATTCTATCCCTTTCTATTCTATTGCTTTATTTTCTTTCTTTTTCTATTGTTTTTATGCTAGTACTTTATTTTTCCATTGTTTTATTCGATTTTCTATTCCTTTATTATCTGTTTTATTCTAATTTTCTATTCTATTCTTTTATTTTCTATTTGATTTATTCTTTTCTTTTATTTTCCATTCTGTTTTATTCTAGTCCTTTTATTTTCTGTTTTTTTTTTAATTTTGTATTCTATTCTTTTATTTTATAGTTTTATTCTATCCCTTTATTTTCTATTAATTTTATTCTATTCTAGTCCTTTATTTCCTATTCTTTTATTCTAGTCCTTTCTATTCCTTATTTTTTTAATTTGTTTTATTCTATTCCTTTATTTTCTGTTTTATTTTATTCTTTTATTCTATCCCTTTCTTTTCCATTGCTTTATTTTCTATTCTTTTCTATTGTTTTATGCTAGTCTTTTATTTTCCATTGTTCTATTACTTTCTATTCCTTTATTATCTGTTTTATTCTAATTTTCTTTCTATTCCTTTATTTTCTATTTGATTTATTCTATTCTTTTTATTTTTCATTCTATTGTTTTATTCTATTCTTTTATTTTTCGGTTTTATTCTATTCTTTTATTGTCAAATCTATTCTGTTGTATTCTATCCCTTTATTTTCTATTTGTTTTATTCTTTTCTGTTGTAACCTATTCCTTTACTTTCTATTATATCCTTTTATTCTAATTTATTTTCTATTCTATTAGTCTATTCCTTCATTTCCTTTTCTATTATTTTTTTTCCATTTTCATTCTAGTCCTTTCTATTCTTTTGTTATTTTCTTTTGATTTATTTTATTCTTTTATTTTTTCATTCTATTGTTTTTTCTATTTCTTTTATTTTCTATTCTAAAAAGTAGCCTCAGGCTGGCCATACATTATACAACTTTCTGTACAATTTCCTTTCCTGATCTACGGTCACCTATGTAGTGCAAGAGCCGGCCTAATTACACGATTGAAAACGTTTAGGTTTTTCAAAAGAAAATTGTATAACGTACGGCCGGCTCTCGCAGAAATCGTCTTATTTTTACTGCATTTATTACATGTTTTTATTTCGAAAAAAAAAATTCATTTTCAAATTTGAATCCTAAAAAAATCATTTTTATTATAACTTATGGGGGGGTAAATCTTCCGGAGGTCAGGTGGTTAATGAACGTAAATGTAGCTTATGCCCTGGAAACATCTAAGAATATTTTCTGTGCGATTCGGTCACAATTACCTTCGCTTGATCAATGATCTTCGATCAGCTCCCTCTGTCGGATCGGGTCGTTCATCTCAGTGTAGGCGTTGCAAATCTCTGTTTACAGTAATCTATTACCATTGAGAAGCTCTGATCCTCCTTTTCTGGGGTACCCTGCTGGTCCTCTTCTCTGTGTGCCTCCATAAGGAATCCACTTCCTATGGGGGCGCACTTGTGGCTTCACTCCCGAGAAGGCTGTGCGAGTCCATAGACAAACAGTGATGCTTGGCCCTGCCCCCCTCATATGATTTGATTGACAGCAGCAGGAGCCAATGGGCCTCTGTCCAAAGAATGCAGGGAGAGAGCTGCCATAGAAGGCACAGCGCAGGGACTCAGGTAGGTTGTTGGGGGGTTTGTTGTTTTTGGAGGGACATTTTTACCTTAACCACTTCCAGTCCGGATTGCTTCCCCCCCCCCCTTCCAGTCCGGACGCTTCACTACCACACCCCCCCCCCCCCCCCGCCTTCCAGTCCGGACGCTTTCACACAACCCCCCCCCCCTTCCAGTCCGGACGCTTTCACACACCCCCCCCCCCAGTCCGGACGCTTTCACACACCCTCCCCACCCCCCCCCACTTCCAGTCCGGACGCTTCACACACCCTCCCCACCCCCCCTTCCAGTCCGGACGCTATTCACCCCCCCCTTCCAGTCCGGACGCTTTCACCCCCCCCCCTTCCAGTCCGGACGCTTTCAACCCCCCCCTTTATCATCCCTTCCCCACCCCTTCCAGTCCCCGACGCTTTCACCCCCCCCCCCTTCCAGTCCGACGACGCTTTCACCCCCCCCCCCCCTTCCAGTCCGGACACGCTTTCACACCCCCCCCCCCCCCCTT